AAAGAAAGAAAGAAAGAAAGAAAGAAAGAAAGAAAGAAAGAAAGAAATTCAAGCAGGCCAAATAATCAATGATGCACTATGAAAAAGTTCTGATAGTTACATACCTGCTTTCCCGTTTTTCCGACTTGTATTCTATGGCTATCATTAAAAGCTTTAGCTTTGCAAAGACCAGCCTGCCAGAAAGAAAGCAGAGAGAAAGAGAACAAAACCAGAATACGTTATTGATTTTGGATATTTTAAATAAGTTTTTACTTTTTTTTAACTAGAACATATCATCTTCCATTAAACAGCCTTGGTACAAATGTGTCTATGCTATTACAATCAAAATGTATATTCTTCATTATATTGATAGTGATTCTCTAATCTTACAATAGTAATAATCAGCATTATAACCAGGGGTGGGATTCTACCGGTTCGCACCTATTCGCTAGAACCGGTTGTTAACATTCTAAGCAGTTTGGAGAACCGGTTGTTAGAAGAAATTACTGGCCTAATCCTGTAAGGAAGGCAGGAAGGAAACATTCTGGTGTTGCTTACAGAAACTGCCCCTCCATTAACCCTTATTAAATTCTTGGCAGGACTAGACTTCCTATCTCAGGAACGTCTCTGGAGTTTTTTTCCCCCTCCTTTGCTAGTACTTTGCTTGTGTGGAGTGACCATTCAAAGTTACAATGGCACTGAAAAAAGTGACTTATGACCATTTTTCACACTTACGACTGTTGCAGCATCCCCACAGTCATGAGAGGCCAGGCGAGGAGGTGCGTGCCTCGATGTGGGTGATATTAAGTTGGCCACGCCCAGCCAATAACATGACCACCAAGCCATCGCCCACCAACTTAGCCACACCCACAGAACCGGTTGTTAAAAAATTTGAATCCCACCCCTGATTATAACTCTATTAATTTCTCCCTCCATATCTTCTAATGAAAATAATATTATATTAGGTATAATAATCTTACCAATCATACTAATAATCATAATCATATTGTTTACATTTCTATCTTAACATATATTGTTTGTTTCACTCATCTCCATTTATTTCTCACTTCTGTTTTTATTCTCTAACCATCCATAAAATAGCTCCCAAGCCATATAATATTCAGTTTGTTCTTTCCCCTCTAGAGCAAGCATTAATCGGTTCATTTCTGCACATTCTAATATTTTCCTAATCACACTCTCATCTGTAGGGATCTTATCACTTTAGGACAGGGGTGGGATTCTACCAGTTTGGACTGGTTCTATAGAACCGGTTGTTATGTTTCTGTGCAGTTCAGAGAACTGGCAAATCATGCCCCTGGCAACATATGTTCAACCAGCTGTGCATAGCAAAGACAGATGTTTATACATCTAAGCTACAAATTAGTATTGTAAAGTGTAACAGATACACGCCACATTTGTTGATGTTGCATATTTTTAGAGATCAAATGTGAAGCACTCCCCAGCTCTAGTTATTCAATGAATAGAGTCGATCAGAATAGAGATGGAAAAGATCTTGGAGGTCTTCTGGTCCAACCTGGGTCCTCATTCTACCAACCTCAGAAGGATGGAAGGTTGAATTAATAGCAATAGCAGTAGCCCTTAGACTTATATACTGCTTCAAAGTGCTTTACAGCCCTCTCTAAGCAGTTTAGAGTCAGCCTATTGCCATCAACAGTCTGGGTCTTCATTTTTACCGACCTCAGAAGGATGGAAGTCTGAGTCAATGCTGAGCTGAGCCGAATCAAACTCCTGGCAGTAGGCAGAGTTTGCCTACAATACTGCATTCTAACTACTGCACCACCACGGCTCTTTCCATGGCCCCAGGACGCCGCAACTGTCATAAATGTGACTCAGTTCTCAAGCATCTGAATGTAGATCATGTGACTTTGGGACACTGCAATTGTCATAAATGTGAATCAATTGCCAAGCGTCTGAATTTTCATCACGTGATCAAGGGGATGCTAGAAAGGTCGTAAGTGTGAAAACTGGTCATAAGCCACTGTTTTCAGTCTGCTGTAACTTTGATCAGTCACTAAATGAGCTGTTGCAAGTTGAGGACTGCCTGTATTACAACATTTGAGGGTAAGAACTACAATTCATTAAACCCCCTCCTTTTTATGATACCTAACATTAGATAAAATTGATAGTAATAAACACAGGAAGTTTTTTTCCAAGGGCCATGTAAAACAATTGTTTTAAGATTTACTTTCAACATCCATTGAGCTGTTATCATGACAATTGGGCCCCCTGGGAGACATTCAGTTACCATGCAAAATGTCACAGAAGCCATTCCAAATTTTATGCTCCGCAGATGACATTGTGCATTACATCTGCTAGAATTTATAAGTAGCCCTGGGAAATGTTAATGTTGACTGTTAATGGGGCAATGATGAACCTTTGCAAACGATAGTGAACCCTTACAATGATGACGACTTAATTTACAAATCCCTTTTTAATTCACTAGCAGAATGGGATTCTAAAGCATCAAACGTTGGAAAACTGGCCTCAAAGGAAACAAAAATGAGAAACATGGAATTTTTAAAGTTTTTAAGGATTCCCAAATCCCTTTTCTTCAAAGAGCAAATATTCTAATCTCTGAGAAATTTTGAAGTGCTGGAATGGAAGGAACATAAATTTTATCAATGGCCAATCGATCATTGTATGAAAATGTAATTAATATAACTACCTCTGTTGTATTCTTATCTTCAGATCAGTTACAGACAGGTGAGAGAGAGAGGTGTGTATGCATAAAAATTATAATTCAACGCCCAACATATGTCATACCTAACAAGGCTTTTATCCCAATTTAATAATAAAAAAATATTTTATCTAGGTTTAAATAAGATTAAATGAGCTAAGAACCATGAAGTTGTTTAGCGCGCACCCATAGAACCGATAGTAAAATATTTTGAATTCCACCAATGATTGAGGCTTTTGAACTCTGGTGCTGGAGAAGACTCCTGCGAGTCCCTTGGACAGCAAGGCGATCCAACTAGTCGGTCCTGGAGGAGATCAACTCTGGCTGCTCTTGAGAAGGTCAGATCCTGAAGAGGAAACTCAAGGACTTTGGCCACCTCATGAGAAGGAAGGACTCACTGGAGAAGAACCGAATGCTGGGAACGATTGAGGGCAATAGAAGAAGGGGACGACAGAGAATGAGATGGATGGATGGAGTCCCTGAAGCAGTCGGCGTGAGCTTAAATGGATTCCGGGGGATGGTAGAGGGCAGGAAGGCCTGGAGGAACATTGTCCATGGGGTTGTGATTGGTCGGACATGACTTCACAACTAACAACAACAAAATAGATGTTGTTAACATCTAGGTGTCTATTGATGGCTATGACTGTTTCATCATTCTTGATGTCAGGAAATTCTTCCCTTATTATTTACTGTGGTGGAGCAGTGGTAAGAATGCAATACTGCAAGCTACTTCTGCTGACTAATGCCTGCAGTTCAGCAGTTCGATCCTCACCAGGCTCAAGGTTGACTCAGCCTTCCATCCTTCCGAGGTCAGTAAAACGAGAACCCAGATTGTTGGGGGCAAGAGGCTGACTCTGTAAACCACTTAGAGAGGGCTGTAAAAGCACTATGAAGCGGTATATAAGTCTAAGTGCTATTGCTATTGCTATTTGCCCTGTTCAGAGAGGGCTGTAAAGCACTGTGAAGTGATGTATAAGTCTAAGTAATATTGCTATTGTTTTTCAGCATTTTAGCAAACCATCGGGTTAGGATTAAGGACATAGATCTCTTGGAGACTGCATGACTGCAAAAGTACTTACTCACAAACAGCAGGGAATGACAGACCAACAAAGGCACTAGAAAGATACTCTGTGTACATTTCATTAGATACTCCTTCCAAGTAGTACTTCTGCCAAGTATCCTCTTCAATCTAGAAAGGAGAAGAAAGAAGAAGAAAAATGGTAGCTGCATTTTTAATACAAAACAGCTGTGAATAACGCAAATTAATTTCAGGAAATTAAGGTTGGTACTTATATTTAACTTAAAAAAAAAACATTCTGAATTAGGCCTGTTCAATTTCTATAATTTCTCTTTTCCTCTTTTCCTTTTTGTTATTGACCAGAAGGAGAGAGAGAGAGAAATGTGAAACATGAATTGGGTTGGATAATTCTGAACATAACATTCCTTTCTAGGAACTTCACATAATACCCAAGAACCAAGTTTCTACAATGGTTGGGAAAAAAACAACAACTGTATTTTTGCTCAAATGCACACAATTATTATCAAAGTGTGCACAGTGTTTGGTTGAACCACGAGCTCCTTTTTCCCATTTTTGCAAAGTTGCAAAATTTACAGGCAAGATGCTACCCCAAGATATTCCCAAGGTCCCAGTGGAACATGATTTTCAGATGAGAATCTCTACCTGTCATACATTACAAGGCTGTAACTCACTTTTATGATTGTGCTGTTTAATAAAAAAAAAACTTTAAAGTAACCTATTCTTTTCAAACTTTTTATTTACAGCTGATTTATTTTTTTACTTCAATAAAGTCTGGCAGTGTTTATCATTTTGCAAGCAGAAGAGATCCGTCTTCCGAACTATCCGAAGACATTTAAGGAATACTCTGTATCAACTGCTCCTAGTACATCCACACACAAAAACAAACACCCCAAAATGAAATGGTGATAAAATATGGTCCGCCTGTCCAGGATATTGAAAAGAAACCAGCTCATCTATCTTCTTCAACTAGAATACTTAATACAGTATCCTTGAATGGGTTTATTCAGCAAAACAAACCGAAGTTTTATTGCTGAAACCTTTGGGCTGAAATGAAATCCACGGTGGTTCTTTCAACTTTATTAGCCAATATATTGTATAGAAACAGTGGATTTAATGTATCCAAAATCAGCAATCACAAGGCTCAGCTAACTTTAAGTGTTGTGCTGAATCACAGCGTTTTCATAAAAGGAAAGCAAGCAATTGTTTCTCGTGCTGTGTTTTAAAACCACCTATGAATTTATTACAAACCTTTCTGGCTCATTTAAGGTCTGTGATTACTTCTCCTGGCCTCGCTTGTTCTCCCATCCTGTACTTAGCAAATCAATCCTAAGTATCTCATAAATAAATAAATCAAAAAAGCCTGCAGCCCATAAATTACTGAAGCTAGTTAATGTTGCATTATGCTGAACTTGCCTTGCTTGGTTTTGGCTAAGTCTGGTATGCGAACACAACATTTATGATTTATGAACTATGATTTATAGCTCGGCATGGTGCGATAATCACATTATCATCGCTTGATCAATGCGGTTCGATGGGGTTAAAGCAAGCTATAATGTGATATGGAGAAAAGCGCTTTATGACATTCAATCCGTTGAGGTCCTTGGTGCTCTCTGAGCTTGATTGCTTTCCTGCAGATGTTTTTACTACCCAAATTAGGTAACATCATCAGTGCTGGAAGAGAGAGAGGGCTGTTCTCTGTTTATATACAAAAAGGCTTGCCCCATCAGCATTGGACAAACCTAAAAATGCTTCCACGTTGATCCAATTTTCCCATTTACCTACAGTGGACCTCTACTTATCTTGAACTCTGCTAACTAGCAGAATCCATTGCTTGGAATTCTGCTCATTACATTTCTCTCTGTGTGTTTGTGTGTGTGTGTGTGTTTTTAAGTAAGCATTTTCAGAAATCTGTTTGGTTATTATACCCAACAGAATGGCATGGACTTGGGTTATCTTGCCATTATTATTTTGTGTATGTACATGTGTGGGTGAGTGGGTTTGCTACAAACTAAGAGGTTCCATATGAAAACTGCTAACTCTAAAGGCAAAAATGAAACAAAATATTCTACTACGAGTTGTTCTAAGTTTGTTTTGATACTAATGTTGGGGAGAAAGGCTAATGAAATACATGGGTTGCAAAATTAAGCCATAATCAGTGAAATGTGTGCAGTGTCATTGCTGATCATAGCGCAAAGGAAATATTTAGGATGGTTTATGCTCTGAGTTTATCTGCCAGGAGCATTTCCTCGTTAGTCTGAAAACACCTGAGAAATTGAGAAGGCTGCTACCTCCTCTCAGACATACTGAGAGGTGTGTGGCTGTAGAATAACCTTGCAAATGACACTTTTCAGCACAAGTTGTTGCTGATTGTAATGTTTCCTCTGCCTGGTGAATTACTGCTGTTCTCACAAAACACAGAATAACAGGGTTGGGAGGGACCTTGGAGGTCTTCTAGTCCAACCCCTTGCTCAAGTTGGAGACCCTACATCACTGTATAGAAATGGCTGTCCAATTTCTCCTTAAAAACCTCCAGTGATGGAGCATCCACAACTTCTGGTGGCAAGCCGTTCCACTCCTTAATCATTCTCACTGTCAGGAAATTTATCCAACTAGGTTGGATCTCTCTTTGTTACCTTCCATCCGTTAACATTTTTGTCAGGTGCTTTGGAGAATAAGTGAACCAAATATTGGAAGATGCAATCATGTCACCTGTAATTGTTTTCTTTCTTACACATACCTAGTTCCCACAACCGTTCATCACAAAGTTTAGCCCCCGTTCCTTGATCATCTTTGCTGCTCTTCTCAATTGTTGCTCATTGTATTGTGCTCCATGTTGTGTACTGTGTGTTGACACTAAAGGTAATGGTGATGGTTTCCCTGTCCAGTCATTTATGACTCTATAGTGTAGTGTTCATCTCCATTTCTTGGCCAAAAGAGCCAATGTAGTCCAAAGATGATTTCTCTGGTCAAATGGCCAGCATGGGTATATATGTCAAAGTTGCATGGAATCCTGTTACCTTCCCACCAAAGTGGTACCTATTTATCTACTCACACTAGCATGCTTTCAAACTGCTAGGTGGGCAGGAGCTGGCGCAAGGAGTGGGAACTCACCCCATTGCATGGTGCTAGGGTGTCCAACCTGAACTGACAGTTTTCGAGCTCAGCATCTTTAACCGCTGAGCCATGTTATCAAAGCCTGCCAAGAATGACTTTCTAAGTCTACAGTTCATTTCATGGGATCATGTTCGACTCTAAAAGAATCGACCCAAATTCCCAAATTGGATAGTGTGGAAAGAAAGAAAAGAAAAGAAAAGAAAAAAACCAGACCAAATTAATACTAAGAGAACAAACTGGTACAAACATTTGAGAACATTTAAGCATTGCTGAACTACAGTAGTTTGAATTTCTCATAAATCCCAGGGGACTCCTTGAATGAAATGAAATAAAGTGAATAGATGAATGATTCTCATTGGAGCTTTGGACTTTGGTACAGATCTGTGTTCCACCTTTATAATTGCAATCTGAGATACCCAGCCAATGGATGGAGGCAAAAACGTTCGAGAAAGAAAAACCATTATGCCTTCCCCCTTGTGGGCGATTTGTTGCCATATGGGTTGGATAGAGACCATATTTTTAACTGCAAAGGATTTCTCTGTTGATAAACATGTGGTTTATCTAACAGGGATAAAGAGACAGAAAGATTGTGCTATGGACAATCTTTAATGGCCCATGGATCTGCCAAATAAAAATATAATTAGGAAAGAACCTGGCCCCTTGCCCAATCTGTAACAGCAAAGGTTTTTTTTTTCCTTTGCTGTATATTGTTCTATGTTTTAATTTTGATGGATTCTTTTCTGAGTTTTGAATTTAAGCCATGGCCCCTTGACAAACCAAAACCCATTAAATATCCCCTCCCAAAACAGGACGCTACCTTTATAAATGATCTCATGGAGAAGAGGTTTGCCAACATGGTCGATAGGCCTGGTGCCAGGCAGCTTTGGGCAATGAATCCCAGCTTAAGTTCTGCAAGGCATATGGCATCATCGCCTTCTTTCCAGTTCCAGCTTGGAATATTCAGCAGATGGGCCTGCAACAGAAAAAACAAACACACACACACACACACACAGGTCAGCCCTGATCCCTCAAATCTTTGATTATGCATCTTATCATCTCAGGGGAAGGCAAGAGGGGGTGGGGAGTAAAGGGAAGGGAATATCTTTAGTTTTTCATTTTGCAGTGAGTTGGCTGCAGCAAATTGTCCTGTTCTGATTGAAGTGTGGTTTTCTTTTTTCATTATTTGGAAAACTAACTCTTCTCTGGGAGATAAAGAATATAATAACTATCACAACTTGGTTCATGGACTTCCCATGTTGAGAATGTGATTCTTTCCACAGGGAGAAAATTCAAGCATGGGGACATAGAATAGAATAGAGAATGGAATGGAATGGAAATAGCATAGCATAGCATAGCATAGAAAAGGAGTTGGAAGGGACCTTGGAGGTCTTCTAGTTCAACCCCCTGTTCAGGCAGGAAACCCTATACCATTTCAGACAAATGATTGTCCAATCTCTTCTTAAAAACCTCCAATGTTTGAGCATTCATAACTTCTGGATTAATTGTTCTGTCAGGAAATTTCTCCTTAGTTCTAGGTTGCTTCAGTAGAATAGAATAGAATAGAATAGAATAGAATAGAATAGAATAGAATAGAATAGAATAGAATAGAATAGAATAGAATAGAATAGAATAGAATAGAATAAGGAAAGAATAAGGAAAGAATAAGGAAAGAATGAGGAAAAAAGAATAGAGTAGAGTAGAGTAGAGTAGAATAGGAATAGAATAGAATAGAATAGAATAGAATAGAATAGAATAGAATAGAATAGAATAGAATAGAATTTCTTTATTGGCCAAGTGTGATTGGACACACAAGGAATTTGTCTACAGTGCATAAGCTGTCAGTGTACATAAAAGATACATTCATCAAGAATCATAACACTTAGTGATAGTCATAGGACACTAAATAAGCAATTAAATCATACTAGGAAACTAAATAAAACAATACAAATCAAAATGATACAAGCAACAAGGTTATCATCATAAGTAGGGGGAGATAGGTAATAGGAAGGATGAGAAGAAGAATAGTACTACAATCTTAATAATTAGTTTGACAGTGTTGTGGGAAATAGTTGTTTAGCAAAGGGATGACATGGGGGAAAAAAAAACGTCCTTGTGTCTAGTTGTTCTGGTGTGCAGTGCGGTTTGAAGGTAGAAGTTGAAACAATTTATGTCCAGGATATGAGGGATCTGTAGATATTTTCACAGCCTTCTCTTTGACTCGTGCAGGATACAGGTCCTCCATGGAAGGCAGGTTGGTAGAAATTGTTTTTTCTGCATTGTTTTGTTTTTGTTTTTAATTGTTGTTTTTTTTACATTTCTCCAAGATGACACAGACCAGATGTTCAGCATGGACCACTTCAGGAATGAGAAATAAATTTTGCATTTCCCTCCCCTGAAAATAGCTGTCCATCCCACATACGACACACAGAGTCAGCATAGTGGCCACCAACAATTTGGGTCCTCATTTTACCGACCTCGGAAGGAGGGAAGGCTGAGTCAAACTGGAGTTGCTCAGAATCGAACTCCTGGATTGAGCAGTGAGTTAGCCTGCAATACCGCATTCTAACCATTGCGCCACCATGGCTCTTATCTTAAATATTATGTCTTCATGTCTCTATTCTAGTGTCTTCTTGGGCAATTTATCGCAGAAATCTTTTATCAGAAAATCTTGATGGCAAATTATCACAGTATTCCTTACCTTATTGTGATACTGCAGCATCTGAGTGATTATTCTTATTTTTGGGTGGTAGTTCTTTATAGAAATTACTCTGAAAAGGGGATAAAAAGCATTTCTCGTCATTTTAATTCGGAAAAAGTCTCCTGTTTATTCTTGGTAGACAGCTTCAAAAAGCCCAGATAAAATATGTTAGGGAACAAGATACTATGAGATTCTTCCTGATTTTTGGCTATGGTAGATTAATGCAGGTCTTCCTTGACTTATGACCACAATTGAACCCAAAATGTATTCTATTAAGTGAGACATTGGTTAGGGGAGTTTTGCCTCATTTTGTGACCTTTCTTGCCACAGTTATTAAGCGAGTTACTGCAGTCGTTAAATGAGTAACATCATTGTTAAGTGAAGCTGGCTTCCCCCATCAGCTTTGCTTCTTAGGAGTTCACAAAAGTTGATCCCCTGAACCTGGGACACTGCAACCATCAAAAATATGAACCACTTGCCAAGCGTCTGAATTTTGATTACATAACCATGGGGGTGCTGCCCATGGTCAGAAGTATGAAAATCAGAAAGTAGCAGATTAACAGAGTTGGAAGGGATCTTGTAGGTCATCTAATCCAACCCCCCACCCAAGCAAGAGACCCTGCACCATTTCTGACAGTTGACAGTCCAGTCTCTTCTTGAAAACCTCCACTGATGAAGCTCCCACAACTTCCAGCGGCAACTTCTGTTCCATCGATTGATTGCTCTCACTGTCAGAAAATTTCTCCTTATTTCTAGGTTGAATCTCTCCTTGATCAGTTTCCCCCCATTGTTCCTTGTCTGGCCTTCAGGTGCTTTGGAAAAAAGCTTGACCTCTTCCTCCTCTCTGTGGCAGCCCCTTAAATATTGGAAGACTGCTATCCTGTCTCCCCTGGTCCTTGTCTTCATTAGACCAGCCATGCCCAGTTTGTGTAACCATTCATCATATATTTTAGCCTCCAATCCCCTCATCATCCTGGTTGCTCTTCTCTGCACTCTTTCTAGAGTCTCGACATCTTTTTATAGTGTGGTGACCAAAACTGGATGCAGTATTCTAGATGTGGCCTTACTAGGGCTTTATAGAGTGGTATTAGTACCTCCCTTGATCTTGATTGTATCCCTCGTAGCTTTTTTGGCTGCCGCTGCACACTGCTAGCTCATATTTAACTGGTTGTCCACTAAGACTCCAAGATCCCTCTCATGGCTACTGCTATAAAGCCTGGTTTCACCCAGTCTATCTGTATCCTTTTGGTTTTTCTTGCCTAAGTGTAAGACTTTACTTTTCTCTACATTGATTATAAATCGGTCGTAAGTCACTTTTTTCAGTGCCGTTGTAACTTTGAACGGTCACTAAATGAACTGCTGTAAATCAAGGACTACCTCATGTGGCTCTTCTACAAGGCTTTCAATTTTCAAGCTTCTTGGAGTCTTAAGATAATCAGCAAGAAACCATTAAGCTATTATGTGGTGATTTATCCTCCGTTTTTGGCAACCGAAGCTCTTGATTGCATGACCTCATCCAGATACCTATCTATCTGGGATACTTTCCTTTGAATTCCTCAATTAAGGAAGATTGTTGGCTTTAGAGACTCTTCTAACACCACGCTTCCATGAATCTGACATCTTAGCTTATCTAGGTAGTCCTCAAAGATAACCAACTTTCATAAGAAACCACAAAATGAGGCTTTTTTGTGTTCTTTCCAGGAACAAGGCATTATATTCCATCCGTGTTCTATTTTTAATTCCTCTCTGCATAAGCCCCACCATTTCACATCCTCCCCGGAAACCAAATTTGATGTGCAGTGTCTGATATTCCCTCAATTCACAGCCATATTTGGCAAACTCAAAAAGGAACATTCAATACCAATCGTGCTCCATCTAAATTTACCTCATGATATTAGAAGCATCTTCAGCATCTGGATCTGCGCAGTATTTGTTGGCAAGGATCAAGCAAGCATCTGCTGACTCTATCTGGACATCAAAGGAGAAACCATAAAACACACAAAAAAGCAACTTTTTTCTTCCCCCCAAAACGTATTTGGCTTTTTATGGAATCTGGGCTAAGAGATTACATGTAGATTTGAATGGCAGACCTACGAATTATTTCATGCAAGTGAACATTATTATTCATAGGTTCCTTTCAACCTCCAGATGTTATGAAGAAAAGCATGCCTGTAGCTCAACCTTAGCAGCCTCCAGATGTGTGGATTCAGGTCTCCAGCCAGCTTGGCCGTTACTGAGACTCCTGGGTGTCAAAGTTCACACATCTGGAAGTTGCCAGGGGTGAATAACATTGTGCCCAAGGCCTAACAACTTCCAGCTTCTATTTTATATACACATATAGTCTTCAAGGTCTAGACTTCAAGCTTTGTGGTTGGACTGAGAGACCAGCCATGGCCCTGTTGACTTATTCTTTTGAAATTCTATAAGAAAAGGGTTATATTCACAATGATTAGCCCGTTCATAAAAGCAGAATTCTGAACTGTGGCTACTTCAGTCTTAAACTTGTTTGCATATTGCTGCATTATCCATCTTCTTTTCTTCGAAATAATCTCATTATAAAACAGGATCTCATTATTCTGGAAGGATTAACAGTCCAAAAAGCTGATAATTTTGTGACATTTCTTTTGAGCCAATTTGAACTTGAAGGGACTTCTGGTTACTTAAGCTTCAACCCATTGTTATAGTTTGATGGCTAGAGTGGTAGGATTTCTGCCAAATCACCATGGAAAGGGTCTATGACAATTCGCCATGGTCAACTTGCCGTGGCCAATTTGCTGTGGCCAACTTGCCATGGCCAACTTGCCATGGCCAACTTGACATGGTCAACTTGCCACAGCCAACTTGCCACAGCCCACTTGACATGGCCAACTCATCATGGCCATCTCACTGCAGGACAAGAGTTATACTAATATCAAAGAAATGGAATAGAATCATTAAAGAAAAGATGCAAAGGAAAGACAGCACAAAATGTGAATGACAAGAAGTAAAATATATTTTTATTTACTTTAAATAATTAAATTGAATTGTCAAATTGTGCTGAGTTGATGTCCTACAGTGAGCTGTCCCATTCTGTCATGGAAATGGAAAAAAAACAGTGTTGTGTTCCACAAAAGTTTTCTCAACTTCTTTGCAGGACAAGACCTCTCATTTTTCTTTTGGGGAAATGGAATGGGGTTTTAAAATCAGTTTGGCATTTTAGACCCCACTCGTTCAATTCCTTCTCCAAATGCTAGGGTAGAAAATAGAAAAGAAACCCTTCCTTACCTTTACTCTAGCCAAGTCATGTGGATTGAGAACCGAACCCTGAAAAAATTCCACCTGAGTGAAGTGTCGTTTAAAAAGAGCTTCCAATTCAAGATTAGGGGAGATACTAAATTTAAAAAGAAAGAGAGAGAGGGAGGGAGGGAGAGAGAGAGAGGGGGACAAAATTTATTTCTTGAATAGTTCCAAAAGGTTAAGAGGTTTAGCAGCTGCTGGTAACATCTATTTTGTACATGATCATTTTCATCTCCATCGTCTTTGCAGCTACGAGCTCTTTAGAACATTTTCACTTTAATCCAAATATCATCCCTCCCTTCATCCCCAGGTCAAAAGGGTTTAAAAAGGGATTAGGGAAGTTGATTATGTTCAGAATTTCAATTGTATTCTCTCTTTTTCTCTGGAATTAATGGAGTGGATGTATTTTGAAAGATGTTGCACTCAAAGGCACATTATACAAGTGCTTAACTTTACTGAAGAAGGTGAATTAAGTTTATTCTGCTACACACACACACACACACACACGCACGCACGCACACATGCACCAGAGGTGGTATTCAGGCAGTTCTGATAGGTTCTGGAGAACCAGTAGTAGGAATTTTGAGTAGTTTGGAGAACCGGCCAATGTCACTTCTGACTGGCCCCCGCCCCATCTATTCTCCACTTCCCGAGTCCCAGCTCATCGGCTGGGTCACCTCTGGTTGTCCTGCACAGAAGAACGGACCTGGAAAGCAGGTTAGTGGGATGGGGAGGGAATGGGGATTTTACAGTAACCTTCCCCCGGGAGTGGGGAGGGAATGGAGATGCAGTATCCTTCCCCTGCCACGCCCACCAAGCCACACCCACCAAGCCACACCATGCCCACCAAGCCACACCCACAGAACCAGTAGTAAAAAAAATTGAATATCACCACTGACACACACACACACACACACACACATAAATGGACATTATACACTCATATACTGGGTCCAATTATAGTGGTGCTTATAATGAATTGATCAGAGGCAGTGGCAAGCCTGTTTGGCCTAGTAGTTAAGGCACTGGGCTAGAAACCAGGTGATCATGAGTTCTAGTCCAGCCTTAGCTATGAAAAGCCAGCTGAGTGACTTTGGGCCAGTCACTCTCTCTATGCTCAACTCACCACACCGGGCTGTTGGAGAGAAAGTGGGTTGGATATGTTCACTGCCTTGAGTTATTTTTGTAAATGATAAAGGCTGGATATAAACAAATACACACACACATAACACACATCCCTCATGGGAAGACTCAATTGATCATTTCCAGTACATTACCCTAAAACCGTCTGTTCCTTGGAAGCATAGCTGACTCTTCTCTTTTTATTTTATTTTGATTTATTTATTTTGATTTGTCAATCACTTACAAGATAATAGGTATAAATATATACATAGTTATGAATACATGGATACATATAAGAAAAATAAAAGAAACAATAGGACAGGGACGGTAGGCACGTTGGTGCGCTCATGCATGCCCCCTACAGACCTCTTAGGAAAGGGGTGAGGTCAATAGTAGACAGTCTAAGGTTAAAGTTTTTGGGGTTTGGGGAAAAAACTACAGTCAGGTAGAGTATTCCAGACATTGACCACTCTGTTGCTGAAGTCGTATTTCGTGCAATCAAGTTTGATGTGGTTAACCTTGAGTTTGTTTCTATTGTGTGCTCTTGTGTTGTTATGGTTGAAGCTGAAGTATTCATTGACAGGTAGGACATTGCAATGTATGATTTTATATACCATACTTAGATCAGACCAAAGGTGGTGTAATTCAAGGTTTTCTAGGTCTAGAATTTCAAGTCTGGTGGCATAAGGTATTCTATAACAAGTAGAGGAGTGGAGAATTCTTCTTGTGAAATATTTCTGGACTTTCTCAACTGTGCTTATATCAGATACGTAATGTGGGTTCCAGACTGATGAGTTGTATTCGAGTATTGGTCTAGCAAATGTTTTGTATGCTCTAGTTAGTAGTGTAATATTACCAGAGAAAAAGCTACATAGGATTAGGTTAACAACTCTTAATGCCTTTTTGGCTATGTAGTTACAGTGGGCTCTAGCACTTAGATCATTAGAGATGAGTATTCCAAGGTCCTTTACAGAGCTTGGATCAACAACAAGATCTTGACTATATTTAAGATCTTGACTATATTTAACAAGACCTTGATTATATTCTCCTTGTTCAAAGAATCCTATTCAAATTTTCCCATTGGGGCCCCTTTAAGAATCCTAAAATAATTTTCAGCCTCTAAACCCAAAAGTCACACAAAGCATGCTTTAAAAATGGTTTGGGGGTATTCTTTCAAATCTCAGCAAAGATCCAATTTCATTTTAAATTGTTTTTTTTATCGGATTTTAGTAACAATTTGTGTTTGGAACTCTTCACTTTAATGTGGCCTATGAGCTAATCAATAAACTAAACTCTAAAGATCTTGGAATCTCAGCAAAGCATAACTCTATTCACTAAGGCCAGTCAATTTTTCTTCAGCATGCCAACCGAGTCTGGAAAATGCAGTATATTGTGACTGCTTTAAGAGACACACTGAGTTCCATTAAAGAAACAGTTATGTTGGACTGTGAGCATAACACAGATTTGATTTGACGACTTAGAGCATCTTTTTTTCAGTTCATAAAAAAAGCTCAAAAGTGTTCAAGTAAGTTAATGAGATCTTATCTTTTACTTCAAAGGTATAAGGCATTGAAAGCGTACACAACTTTAATTAGACCTTTTAATGGCTTAAGAAAAGATGCCCCTTTTTCAAGAGACAACTGGACTTTCTTGGTTTTCTTTGAAGACGTTTTGCTTCTCCTCCAAGAAGCTTCTTCAGCTCTGAAGTTCTTCAGAACTGAAGTTCTAAAGAAGCTGAAGAAGCTTCTTGGAGAAGTGAAACGTCTTCAAAGAAAACCCAAGAGAGTCCAGTTGCCTCTTGAAAAAGCACCTTTGGGACAATCCTGGATGACTGAGAATCTCCATAGACATGTCCCTCCATGATTATGACATTTAAAATATCAGGCCAAATACAACCCACTCATCTTGGTTTGTAGGAAAGGTCTATGAATGGCATAATAAAAAATACAATTATCCACTACAACCATATGGAAATCTCATATCCATCCATTCATTTTAGTTAAATGGTTTGTGCCTTTAATTATATTCAGGACCAAATCCAAAAGCAGACAATGCATTCCTGCCCTATTTTATATACCCTGCCTTGTTAAATATGTCATTAAAATGTACTTATGAGTCAAAGGACAATACAAAAAGGCATATTCTGTGCTCTCAGCGGAAATATTTGCAGGGTGTCTTTTTTCAAAAGAGGTACTCAGACTATTACAAACACTTTCCAAAAGCTAAATAATTATAAACTACAGAATCTAAAAACAATGTCTATTACTAGCCTTGTTTGCAAGTGGGGCAAGAGAAAATATTTCTCCCAGAATTTGACAGCAGATTTCAGATTGTGGGGTCCTTGGTGGTTTTCTGAGCTTGGTTGCTTCCTTGCAGATGTTTCATTACCAAACTAGGTACCATCATCAGTGTACTGTTGAAACATCTGCAACCAAGCTCAGAGAGCACCAAGGAGCCCTCAATCTGGTTTGTGTCATGCATTTTAGCCCACCAATCCTTCTTCCAAGTAAAACCCACCTGGATATTGTATATGTTTAGTACTATCATTAACAATGTTATTTTTGTGACAATGTTATGTATCAAACTTATCTGAAGAATGGTGACACCCCCCCCTCATGGAAATAGAATGAGTTCCATTATTGAAAAGGATTTGAATGCAGCTCTTCTTATTTTAAAAATCAGAGGTTATGGTTGATGCATAATTTGCTTTATGGATCAAATAATCAGGAAGAATGGATGCCCACCTACTTCATGCCTTGAGTTCAATTTGGACATCCCCATCTTCTCAATGCATCCTGCTGAGATTGCCACTGAATCCAACATCCCAATGGCCTCAACAGGTGGCATCTTCTAGTTTCATGTTCCTCAACCTTAGCAACTTTCAGACATGTAGACTTCAATTCCCAGAATTCCCCAGCTAGCCACACGAAGCTGAAGTCCCCATACCTTAAAGTTGCTATTTATTGAAGTTCTTCATTAACCTTATATCAAATCTGACCCAACTGTAGACTTGATAAGAGGAATTATGGAACTGGAAAATCCAGAGTTTTCTGCAGATTTCATATCTTCGATTTATTGGTGTTTCATCTTCTAGTTTAGTGTTCTTCAACCTTAGCAACTTTCAGACATGTGGACTTCAACTCTCTTCTCTAAATTTTAGGGTCCCACATGACCCTTTTTGTGTGAGTAGTGACATAAAGGTACTTACTTATGCAGAAAGACAATTTCTACGTTGACATCATCCCTGTCCTTGTGTAGGAAGTCCTTCAAGAAATTGGACACACTTTCCAAAGTGATGTGGCCACAGACAACAATGTGCCTGGGACAGAAAAAAGGACACAGTTAAGTCTGCTGTAAAGAGGACCAGGAAGAACAAGAACAAATTAATTTAAAGGTTCATGCCTGTTACTTTTGTACAAAAATAATCATGAAAAAAAGGAAATAAGCATTAATCTAGTGATGGTCTCCAGTTATTCTTGAAAAGAGAAACTTAAATACCCATATTACAGAGTCTTAAATGAATAACATTTAATTCAATACATTGTAATTATAGTCACATAAATAAACCAGAAGCACATTGCCTAGCATGTTTTGGATGCTACATTTCCAGCAGCCTTATATGTTGTGAGGTGGCTCAGTGGTTAAGATGCCTGTTTGAGATCTGAGCTCCATGTGATGGGTTGAGCTCCCATCCCTCGCTGCAACTCCTTCCAACCCAGCAATTTGAAAGCATGCAAATGCAAGTAGATAAACAGGTACAACTTTGGTGGGAAGGTAACAGTGCATGTGGCATAATGCTGGGCCACATGACCACAGAAATGTCTTCGGACAGTGCTGCCTCAATGGCATTGAAATACAGATGAGCACTACCCCAATAGTTGGCAATGACAAGAGGAGTAAAAATCGTAGGGAGTCCTTTATATATTGTGAGAAAAACTGCTAAGTTTATAGTTAAGGCGATTCAGCTAAGAACTCAGGATAGTGAACAGTTTGGGATTAATACATATATACATATTTACATACACACACACATAATATAATATAGATAAAGGTGATGTATTTATCCAAATGTTTGATTACAACACAGGATTTTTATTTCTGTATTCTGTTTTACCAATTTCACTCTAGAATTAGATCTTGTATTTTATGTTTATTTTCTTTGATATGGTCACAAGACTAATAAATTAATAAACCTACTACAGCATCCTTAGCCATTATGGCCCATAGCAAATTCCAGTTAGATGAATAGTCTTTTCTTTTTGCATAATGCCATTTAACATTTTGACTCAGGCCAGTCAATAACAATAGCAATAGCCCTTAGATTTATATACTGCTTCATAGTGCTTTGCAGCCCTCTCTAAACAGTTTACAAAATCAGTCAATTGCCCCCAACAATTTGGGTCCTCATTTTACTGACTTTGGAAGGATGGAAGGCTGAGTCAACCTTGAGCCGGTCAGGATCGAACTGCTAGCAGTCGGCAGAATTAGCCTGCAATACTGCATTGTAACCACTGCACCACCACGGTTCTTAACATTAACTTTTTAATTATTACTTAAGCAAATCAGGATCAAAAACATCATTCATCAGAGAAGCAAAAGGACAGAACAAGTTTTAGCCTCCAGCCTCCTAATCATCTTTGTTTTTCCTCTCTGCACTTTTTCCAGAGTCTGAACACCATTTTATTTATATCATGGTGACCAAAACGGGATGCAGTGTATTGCAAGTATGGTTTTACCGAGGCATTATAAATGTCTGTTACTAGCATTGTTTACCTATAATAGTTGGGACTCTAAAAGAAGAGAATCCAAGGCTGCCACAAAAATTCCGTAACACAGAACAAATTCTACCCACTAAAGTTTGGTGTTGTGTGTCAGCCATATTGCCAAACCGGAGAAGCCCAATGAATAATGGCTGCTATGCGTCCTTTAAGTATCTGCAAAGCTTAGAACCCCTAAAGAAGTAAGAAAAGACCCCAGGATGCTCTGGGAGCTGCAAAAGTGATATTTATGTTTCAACACACAGTTCCTTGGCCAGATTTTCTCTCTCTCTCTTTTCATTCCTGTCCCTTTTTCTCTTGAACAGCCAGACTGTCGTTTCCCTACCAGTAACTGCTTGTCGATGGCTTCAGTGCTTGCTTGCAAGCCATTTCCTGGCCCGCAATTTCTCCACATCTTTTAGCAGCTTAAGGAGGAGGGGGGAAAACCCTGTAAAGAAAGCTTTTGTACGAATATCCCTGAGCTTATTCATCTGAAATCTGTAAGTCTTTATCCACGCAGGGAAAACTTTGCCATCACCTTTCCTTCAATTTTGCCAAGAATGAAAAATAATAATAATAATTGATCGACCATGTGTTTGAATGCATCTAGTATAAGAATCTCTGGCGCCTAATTTGTCAGGAAAATCTTATCTCCCTGCTGTTCCTTCAAACTTCAACAATTTGTATTCTCTCTCTCTCTCTCTCTCTCTCTCTCTCTCTCTCTCTCTCACACACACACACACACACACACACACACAAACAGGACTTTTGGACAGTGATAGAAATCATTAGGAGAATAGTTGATCTGAACGGAAATCATAGGAAAGAAAACAAACAAATATTGGATTTCTTGTAGAATAGTCCCAAAATGTGCTTGAAGCATTGAGGCACAGGCCTCCCAAAAAATTCAAGGGAAGTCATTCCCTAACCACTGTGATAACATGCCATTGCAAATCAACAACAACAACATCCTAGACTAGGCCAAGTCCAAACTGGAGGAGAATTTCTTAGAAGTCTGGCACTCTGACAAATCAACCATCAATAGACACTGTCAATCCTGAAGCTGACCTTCAGGATTAACAGTGTCAATCTTGGAGCTTCAGTGTTGCCACACCGGAGCTGAGGGATAGGGAGGGGGGATTTGAGATAGCTGGGGTTTTGTAGCCAAAACAAAATGTACTTTCTCTTGGGAACCAAGAACGTTCTCACACCTGGTTGGAGGAAGGAGGAGTGATGTCACCAGGCAACCAGATGGAGCCATGATTGGACCATGTGGCTGATTGTTTTGAGAAAGTGACAAACTTTTATTTTTAATTAGATGAAAACCATGGGAACCTTCAGAGTCAGTTTTCATCAGATCTGTGCCAATATGATATATCCAATAAAGCGATTCTTTGAGGAATCTACCTGCCTCGGATTTAGCTTGCATTTGGGTCTATTACCTGGAACCCTGACAGAGACATAGACATTAACAACATCTATAGACTGTGCAAAAGAGACAATCAACCAGCCCAAAGGGGAACAAAAGGACCCCAGCACCTCTCCACCAGCCATCAGCACCCAGATCAGCATAGATGAACTCCAAGGTTAACATCAGACCAACAATCCTGTAAACAATACCCCACTCAAGAAACTGCCAAGGTGTTCTGACCAAGGCTTCCTAAGACTGTAATTAATCACACGCTTAACAACACTCTTTTTATTTCAATGCTGGGAATCATGTCCATTCCTAGCCCGTAATGAGTCCCAAATAGTTTCTTGAGATAAGCACCTACCTTTATCTCCTTTGAATTGCTGCCAACAACTAAAGTGCCAAATTCAGTGTAAAAAGCCAAATGGAGTACAAAGTCCACACAGAGCTTCAAAGTTTAATACAAACATAGCAAACAGCATTGCTTCCTACAAAGGGTCTCTCCTTGATTGGTTTCCATTCATTGCTTCTTGTCTTGCCTTCTGGTGCTTCGGAAAATAGGTTGGCCCTCTCTTCTTTGTGGCAGCCCCTCAAATATTGGAATACTCTTATCACGTCCTGCCTACTCCTTCTTTTCTCTACATTAGCCAAAATCCAAATCCTGCAAACCGTTCTTCCTAAATTTTTATCTCCAGGCCTTCAATCATCTTAGTTGCTCTTCTTTGCACTTTTCCCAACATCTTTTTTGTAATGTGGTGAGCAAAACTGGATGCACTATTCTTTTACTTAACAACTGTGACAAAAAGGTCATAAAATGGAATGAAACTCCCTGAACAATTGTCTTGCTTAGCAATGGACATTTTGGGTTCAACTATGGCTATAAGTTGAGAACTACCTATACTGCATTGTTCTAATGTAAGTATTTCCCCTTGCCTTGCATCCTCCGGGTTTCTTATCAGTTATGAAGTCACCACAGCTTGGAAAAGCAGCTTACTAAGTTGTCTCATCCATCATGAAGAATGTGGTCATTGTTGTGGCCCACCAGTGGCCAGCGGAGCTGGTGGCAGACTCGGACAGTGAGGAGGTTGGAGAGGAACATGGGCCAGTCCTGGAGTCTGGGGAAGGCTCTGACGAGTCCTCTGCATCAGAGGTAGAGATGGGCTCAGGGCCATCTAACAGTTGTCAGCTGCCTTCGGAGTCGGAGATCAATGGGGCAGAAAAACAGCTGGAGCCTGTTCCTGATGTGTGCATGTGCATAGCTGCCAGAAGAAGGGAACAGTTAAGGAACAAAGGTCGACTTGGAGTAAAGGCTCAGGTGGACGGTGAATGCCCCCTCCCATAGGGATTAAAGAGGAGTGAAAGGGGAGTAGTGTTTGCAGGAGACAATTAGTTCAATTGATTAGGGTGAAGATCTGTTCCTGACTCCTTGCAAAGTAATTGCTGCTACAGTTTGGCATTTGGAAGCTATTGGCCTAGCAACCCTCCAAGCCTGATAAAGGTCTGTAGTTGTGAAATCTCATGAAAGACTGTTTGCTGGGACTTTGCTGGAGAAGAATTCACTTTAACCTAAATAAGTGGGGTTTTATCGGGACAAGGAGTCTGCTTCA